ACAGATCCGATGGGCCGTGGCAGGATGTTGCAGCCGTCGCACAGCTTGGAGAGCCTGGGTGACCAAGGTCAGCCGGGAGGGGAAGGTGCAGGCAAAGGTGGAGGCAAAAAAAAAAGCAACTGGCAACGACAATGAGACGAAGAAACCTCCGAAGAAGCCAGTGAACTTCGCGGGCAGAGCAAATGCCAAGCTCAACAGTGGACGCACTACAGTGACAGACTCCAAGTATTGGATTCGAGTTATCGAAGAGGACCAGAAGCAGCCGGAAGAGGACAAGCGCAAAGTGTTGCTAGCCTTGAACTATAACAAGCTCACTTACTATTAGATCGATCAGCATCCCAAATTATATATATATATATATTATATCATATCCACACCTCTTAAACCCGGGCCCCACTATATGTAGCTACATCCCTTTCTAATACACCCTTTAAATGTTAAACCGACACCCTGAAACCACAGACTCGGACCCAATTGATCGAGTTTAAACCTACAGTTCGAATATAATAATAAACTTGTAATATATTATTATTAGATTAATTCCCAACTCGCAAACTTGAAACACACACCTGCGAATCCCAGGTCAAAGCAATTGGCCGAAGGCTATGTCTCCCAGCTTAAGCACTATCAGGGGCCGATCGAAGCGGCAACGGACGCATTGGATATGAAGCTTATTGAGGGCTGCAAGGACGAAAAGTCACTACAGCCCTTGATGACTGTCCTTGACACAGCTGTGGAAAACTACACCACTGCTGTGCGACCCATTCGTGCCCTCTTCGAAACTTTGCCTGCCATCATGTCTTAGCCTACTTGTGGGGAGTTTCTGATTAGACCCGTGTAGAAACCTATGTTCGATTCTATCTCAGGTCGAGCCCGATCCCAACAAGAGCGCCACGTCCAAGAAGAACAAGAAGAAAGCTCAGTGAAGAGTGTATGGGGTCACTCGTGAGTTATCTTCTCTGGGCATGAGTAGATCAGATTTTTGCTGCTGAACACATGTGAGATATCACGTGTGCATATGGACACAGCCACGTTGGCCACATAGCCCAGTGCCTGCAGCTGTATGCAATTGCAATCCTATATATGGCTGAATGTCTGAAATTGCAATCTGCTATATGGAAGCACTGGTCAGTGGCTCTAGATTGTGGTGTTGTCATCCGTACATGTACGACTCAAATTTGACTTCATGTGGCCAGCAAGTGCCATCACATGTGAGGAGGGACTCAGGTGTGGGAGGAACCTGCACCGCAAGTGCTTTCACTGCCAAAATGTCCAATGCAATCCGTTGTCGTCCAGTGCTGTGCATGCACCATGGTATGGCATTGATATAGATTGCAATTAAGTGTTATGGACATGCCTGCGCAGATGCTGGTGCTCGCCCTGGTGCCCTATGCCATCGCCTACGATCGATGATCAGATCGGGGGACCGTTATGTTATAATGTTGAACCCTTGGCCCTTGTCCGAGTCTTAATTATAAGGTTCTGAACCCCAAGCTTGAAATGCAAAGTTACCGACCAGGACCTGAGCTACACCCTTGCCCAGCGTGTAGCTCATGCAGCTGTTGAGGACCGTGGTCAAACAGATTATGGGATCCTTAAGGGAGTGGGGTCCAAGGGGGGTAGGCAATTTAGAGTTCCCTAAGCTACCCTAACCTTCCCTAAGCTTCCCTAA